GTGAGTCTCTACTTTTTGGAGACTTAGAGCAGCCTATAATATTGACCAAAGGTCCACACTACACTGCACTGGTTTCTCAGCTGACTAGAGAACACAGTCTTTACCCTTCTCTGCAGCCTTGGGCTCTGCACCCTTCTCCTCCAGAGACCTACACACCCAGGTTATCCCAGAGCTGCTCCTGAGGTCAAGCTCCACATCTCTTCCAGCTCTGAGGGAACATGCAAACATATTAGGTACATTGCAGATGGAGGAACCAAGAGCAAAGAGCAAATAGCATCCTTTCACTTGCATGACCATCTCCTTAGCTTAGATCAATGCTTCCCCTCACTCTGTGATCCACAGTCTCTAAGATCCCAAGTGAGAGCAATAAAAAGAACCTGGGAAAGGTTAAAGGTGTCCATGGGAACAATGCACAGATAAATAAAGTGGAAAAGACTGAAAACCACTGAACCAGCTCTAGTATTTTGGATCTCAGTCACAGGATAGGATAAAGTATCCTTTATTTCAGCCTGACAAGCTCCAAAAAAAGTAACACCAGATCAAAGGCCTGCAATATAGAATACAGAGAAAAACTGGAATAAAAGGAATTGGTATTAGTTTTCCCAGCAAAACTTCAGTTAATTAATTGTATCTATAGCAACTATTCCACCTCTCCAGTTATCTACAGTTGCATTTTCATCCAATCCATAGCCACTCCAATGTGAAAACCAAAGACATTTTTCAAGAACCCAAGTTATCATTTGGGACATCAGTTATAAATAACAAAAAATAAAATCCTAGTGAATGACTGCTAGATCTTCATTCCAAAGAAAAAACAATACACTTCATGTCAAAATTGAATTACAATTCTGCCAGAAAATATTTTTAAATATTTTTAAAAAGAAATTGGAAGCTCAAGCTGGACAGGAACAGGCAACAATTTCAGAATTAGATCATTAACCCAAAATATGCATTCAAATTATTATTGTGAAAATAGTACACATTCTGTCTTGTTTGGGTGATAGCTTTCAATTCTGAAGTTAACTTAGAGTGTGGTCTATCATTAGATAAAATATAACAGGCAACTAGCATTTTCCAATATATATGGATAATTATAAACTATGCCACTTGCACAGGATAGCTGAATATTTTTGTCTAAAATTATGTTGCATAAATCAGCACATACTGCAGGGCAGTCATTGTTTCAATAATTACTGGTTTCTACATAATTTCTGCAACATTATTCCATATTATTCTTTCATTATTAGAGAAATCTCCATGCATACAATGTATGTTTGTTGGCAAAGCTACATTATTAAGAAAGGATGACTGGAGGGATTAAAAATAAAAGTCATTACAGAAATTTAGATGCTATTAAGAAAAATGCAAAGAATTTTCACTGCAGAAGAAAAACAGTAAAAGAAAAAATCATTACAAAATTATTTCAGATAATAAGTGACTCTTGTAATGAATTTGCAATCTTGAGTTCTTATAATAATTGACATTGAAAGTGTAATTTAGTAATAACATCATAATCCAGTTGCTTAGAATAGGTTGTGGATAAATCATTTTTGTTTGGTTGGAGTTTTTTCAGATGTATTATGGCATATTGGCCCCAGAGAGCTTTAACTGCTGCCGACTTCAAAAGGAGAGGAACAAGACACCTTTCAGTGCAATATCTTTACATGTAATGTGAGGATCTGAGTTGGCACCCATCAACAAAGAACAAAACAGTAACATTAATACATGTCCAAATTGCCTAGGACACTTCCTTTTACAGCATGCTGGTGTCAGCAAACACCACTGAACCCTCCATAGCCCTTTAAAAAAGAAAAACAAAAACTACCAAACACATGTATACATGAATAGCAATAAGGTCTGATGATACCCTGGCCACCCTGCTCCACTCTGGGAATGATTGATACACACCAACTCATTAACTGTCATTGATCATGACAGTTGGCACAGTCCCTAGCCACACTGCCCCACGGCAATTGGGTCAGCTTCTGCATATGATGGGCAGACTCCTCAAAACACTGTGATGATTGTTGTAGAAGGAGCTAACAGGGGCCTGTTAGCTAAAGGAGCAAGAAGAAGCTGAGAAAAAAGAAGCTGATAAGAAGCTCTCTCCAAGGCTGTAACCAAGGAGACCAAAAGAACTGAAGAAAGAAGAGAACTTCACAGCTGCACAAATTATTTATAGAAAGTTAATTAAGTCACTGTAACTTTTCACCAATGGTATTATGTTGATTTATTGTGTCCAATAGTTAAGATAGAAGAAGCATGAACAATTAGAAAGTGTATAAAAGATCAGCCATATTTGATAATAAAAAGTTGCCATCTGAGACTGCTTGTAATCTCTGCTTCGTGTCGTGACCGCCTCGACAGCGATAGATTGTCACCACACAAAGTTACTGCTCCAAAGGCACCTTAAGCCATGTTATCCTAGCTCACAAATAAACTCAGACTAATTCAGAGATGCTTGGAGCTCAGGCATCATCCCTCCATATTCAAATCTGGCATTCATAAATATATGCAAAGTCTGCACCAGCCATGTCTCCCCACCTGTACTGCTCAGAAAGGACAGCTCTCAGAGAAGCCAAACAGGACTGCTGCAGCTCTGGCAATTTCTAAGTTAGGCCAAGTGCACAGCCTGTTGTGCACAGACCAGCACACAGACCTGGTGTTCCCCACCCGCATTCCATACCACATCACTGTGCTGTGGCGCCATTCCTCTTCTGTGTTCCTGCCTCACCTCTCAGCTTCCTGCAAACGCTCCATGGAGACATACTCAGAGGGACCAGCCCTGAGCTCCAGTGTCCACTGGCTAAAGCTGTGTTCTCAGAATAGAACACTCTGATCAGTTCTCAGAATAGAACACTTTGATCAGTTTTGTACTGCGGCAAAGGAAAAATCAGACTTTCAAGCAAAATGATTGCTTCAAGATGTTTTTTAACTGAAAACCCCATTTGCACTAATGGTCAGGAAGAATCGGATATTTTGCTCCCTGCAGAGTTACATAATCACATGGTTTAGGCTGGAGGGGACCTTGAAGATTATCTTGTTCCAACATCTGCCATGGGCAAGGACATCTACTAGACTACATTGGTCAGAGCCCCATCCAATCTGGCCTTGTGAAAAAACAAACAAAATAAAACTAGAAACAAGTTAAAATCCAAAGTAATCTCTCCAATTTTCGGGTCACAGATCCAAGTGTTTCTTCTTTCTCACCATGGTGCACCTTCTCTTCCTGCCCAGATACTTGAATGCAGCTCCTACAGCATTCCCAACTCAATATCTGTTGAGGTGAACACTCCATGTATGGAGACACCAGGTTTGACTCCATTTTCCCCGAAGGCTTATGTATTATCTTATACATTATACTAAAATACTACATAAAAACTATACTAAAAGAACAGAGAGAAAATAATTATCAGAAGGCTATAAAGAACAAGAATAAAAGAGAATGTGTAACAAAATCTTGTGACTGCTCACAGCCTTGGCACAGGTGGCTGTGACTGGTCATCAAGTGAAAACAATCCACATGGACCAATGGAAGATGCACCTGCTGCATTCCACAGCAGCAGATAGTTATTGTTTACATTTCTTTCCTGGGGCCTTCAGCTCCTCAGGAGGGGAAAAATCCTAAGAAAGGATTTTTCATAAAATATCATAGCTACAAATATCTATAAAAAACATTCTTGGACTGAACAGATCCCTCTTCCTCTCCTCAGAGCAGCCAGTTTGAAATTCTCAGATGCACAAAAAGGCGACATCCCCTGCTACAGATATATGTTCAGAAAGGCACAGAGCACAAGATGCACTCTACAGAGGACTACTACATTCATCTTCTACAAGGAGATACATTTGATAACAGGAATGTGTGACTGGCTTAGCATAACAAACATTAATTGCATCAATCTCCTGTTCTTTTTGCATTTAATACTAGCGTCTACCCAATACATGTTGTAGCAAGTCTGTACCTGTCATTTAAAAATATTAAATAATATTTGAATGCCAGTGTGCATAGCATACTCAAAGCATAGGCAGTTTTCAAAATAAGTGACCCAACCAGGGATGTTCTCCAAATACTTCAGCTTAGTGACCTCATTTGATGATGGAATTACAACAGCTAGATTACAGTTCCACGAAGGAATTCATTCTATATACAAATTTCTCCATATCAAGTAAAATTCAATTTACCACACATTCTAAACTATACTATACACTAGGTTTCCTCCTTCTTCTGTTCAGTAAGATATACTTTATTTCAAAACATTTTCAGAATTAAAAATACAAAAGCTATATAAAAGCCATAACAACATATTGGCTTCTTTGACTAAAGAACCTAAATTGTAATAACATTTAACAGCATAAAATTCCAATCGACTCAGCAATCTATTGGAAATGCACATGCTAACGTTAAATTAAAACTACTGGGTTTTAACATTTGAAAAAAAAATTAAACAAACTAATTGTTAAATTTGATTGTTTAATCACCTGAAAGTGGCAAAGGCTTCAAGCAGTTTTGGTGTTCAAAGAGGATGCAAACAAGCCTTTTAAGAGTCACCACCATCTGGGCATCAGGGACAGCAGGCAGGAGTTTCATCTCTCCCCGGGGACATACACACAGTGTAAGCTCATCATTACCATTCTTATGTAGATGTTCAATGACATTTTACAGTCAGATAAGACTAAAAAGCCCTGCAGTTAGGAACCAAAGCCTTCCAGGACAGGGCAAAGCCTGTATACCACACATTTCAAATTAGAACTGTCCAATCACTCTTACCCATAAATCACTTCACTGAGAAGTGATTTATGGGTCAGAGCCTGTGGATGGATGGAATGCAAGAGAACAGATATAGTGATGAAGGTAATCTCACCCCTAAGGAGTTACAGCTGAATTAGGAACAGGCCTGCCCTTAATAGGCCACAGCTAGATCCAATGAGGATGTATATTGTAAAAGAGTAGGCTGGCTGGCTGGCAAGTTAGATAGTGTTGGCTGTGCTGTGAAGAAGGAGTCAGTATTGTGAGGAGCTGCCCATGAGAAATCACCTAGAAGGTATGGAGCTTTTGCAATAAAATGACAATAATTGGTGATTCCATGGTGGTTTGGGTAGAGAACTGCAGAAAACAGTAAAAAGATGCTCCCGTCGTGGTTTGGGAAAAAGGAAGCAATGTGATCCTGAGGTAACTCAGGAAGATGACCACAGACTTAAGAGCAGCAAGTCAGTGGAGACAGGCAGATTAGGAGCCTGGGACCTGAGTCAGGAGGACCAAGGGCCAGATGAGTTATAGCCAGGCAGACATGAGAAATTGAAAGAAATATAAGCAGACCTGAGAGTCTAGAAATCTGGACATGTGAAACACCATCCCTAAGGAAGAAGGACCTGCTTGGGAGAAGCTTGATAACCTCAAAGATGAAATGTTTAGAATTACAGATGCTGAGAAGAATCTCCAACTAGCCTGCAAAAGAGAGATGCAGCTAAAAGGAAAGTAAAGACTATTAAAGAGAAATTGGCTACTAGGCTTAATACCAATGAAACTGCTGAATTTTTAAAAGAACGGGAAGAGCAAATCAAAGGATTAATGGAGGCAGGGAAAAAGCTTTCCAAACAGTAGCTGCAGAATTCTACCATTATTAAGAATTTAAGAGCCAAATAGAAGGAGAGGGAGTATATTAACACTGAACAGAACAAAAAGATTAAGGAATTAGAAGAGAAGTTGCAGCATTTAAAACAGGTGCTTAAGAAGAGTAGTTGAAGCATTTAAAACAGGTGCTTGATGGCAAGGAAGACTTGGAGAAGCAGCATCGCGACAGCATTAAGCAACTGAACAGTGTTGTGGAGAGACAAGACAATGCGTGAAGAGAAGACTTCTGAGAAGTTTGCTAAGTCACTGCTGTATGAGCAGACAACACGTAAGAGAGGCCTAGCTCTGGAATAAAAAACAATGTGGAACTCTGAGAGGCAGATTCAGAGCTGCGCAGACAACATGTAAGAAAAGCCCTCTAAAATTGTATAGTGGCCATCTCCACTGTAACCTGATGTGATTCCGAATTGGGCTGTAGGGCGAGGTGCAGCTGGAGATGGAGCCCAAAATAGCACTGAGAGTAGCACAGGGAAGCTGGCTGGTCTGGACCTGGCTGACTTTGACACCTGAGATACAGGTGAGCCACTGGGGACACAATGGGAAATAATATATCAAGTGAAGAATAGACTGTTTTATATACATGGAAAGAAGCTGAGGAAAGACTGTGAGATACAGTATCAAAAAGGGGGCAAGGCAGCTGCAGATTTGGCTGCCACCTGGAAATCCCTTTATAAGACTTTAAAGGAGTGGAAAACAGAGCAGGACAAGAGAGGCTTGCAGTGGTCAACTAATACAACAAAAAGGAAGAAGAGAATTACTAAAGCAGCAGTGCGAGCTGGAGAAAGAGTAGCTCTATTATTTAGTACAGTGTATTTGTTGGTGGATAAAATGTGTGCATTTTGTTTGTGAATTGCAACTATTAATCTTTGATTCAGCATAAGTGTAAAAGTTTATATTCCATAAGGATAAGTACACTTGACAAATACTGTATCAATGTTGCTCAAAGTACTATAGCTATTGATAAAATTATGTAACTGTTGATTTGTTGCTATCTTAATATATAGCCTTTAACTTATTCTTGTGAGTTGCCTTATAAAGTTGTACAGCTGTTGATATTGTAAATATTCTAGAAGTATAAGGGTTTCTGATGATAAGTAACATAAGTTTGGGTAATGAATTAAGGTCAGTGCACGGACATATTCTAAAGTTAAATGGAAATTACACAAGATTATTGTACTGGGTTTGCTATCTTTTCCAAGAGCCTTGCAAAAGATAATAAACACAACATTAGTTTATGAAAAGCCTTAAGTTGATATTCTAGACTGTGAAAAGCAAAACCAAACCAGAACTTTGAAACCTATGTTCTTACTGTGGTATGTTGCCTGAGCATTCATATAACTTAGTCCTAAGTGAGATATGTGAAATGTGTTATAATGCCAATTTACTTGGACATATTTTTCATGAGATACTGCAACTTTGTAATTAAAAGAAAAGGGGGAATTGTGGATGGATGGAATGCAGGAGAATAGAGACAGTGATGAAGGCAATCTCACCCCTAAGGAGTTACAACTGAATTAGGAACAGGCCTGCCCTTAATAGGCCACAGCTCATATATATATTTATATATATATTTATATATATATACCAATTAGGATGGGTATTGTAAAAGAATAGGTTGGCTGGTTGAGAAGTTAGAGCTTGTTGGCTGTGCTGTGAAGAAGGAGTCAGTATTGCTAGGAGCTGCCCATGAGAAATCATCTAGAAGATATGGAGCTTTTACAATAAAATGACAGCAAGAGCCCTGTAAAAAGTCAATAAGACATTTAATTTTGTAACCATTTTCTCAGAAAAACTATAAATTACCTGAAGATTAAAGGTGATCTTCAAAATGTCTGTGATTATTAGGAAGTTAGCTCCAACTAGTGCTGCAGGACATGATAAAAGACGCAAGTAATGATTCTAGAAAGCCCATTTGAAGATTTATTCAACACCTCGCCTCTTGCAAAGCAACAGCTATGCAACTAAGAATATAAACACAATAGAAACTACAATTAACAAAGTCTAAGTTTGCTGCTACTACTACCAGAAGATATTCCCCAGTCCATGACCAACATAAACCCCCAGCTGTCAGTAATGTTCTGTCTTTCTCCAGTTTCAGTCCTCCATGACCTAAATATTCACTGATTAATACTCCTGTGTATTTAACTCTTTGAGGCCCCAGTCCTGAAGCCCTTCATATTTTTCAATCCAGGCTGGTAAGAAGAAACACAAGCACTGGGCATCTCCTTTGGAAGGGAAACTCAACACCTGGTAAGATCAGCACATGAGCACCACCAGTGTTCCATGATTTGTATCTATTGTCATTCTGCTTCTCATAGCAGTATTTCCCATTTTAACAAACCAGACCGAACACCTAGTTGCAGAAAAAAAAAAGCTAAATCCTGGGCTTAAGGACAGAATTTTACACAGGTGCAAGATACAGGTGGTGGGACAAATGGTATGGTTTAATACTACCCTTAACATCCTCCTACTGAAAGAGTCTTCCTGCCCTACTCCCTCAACCATAGGCATTACATTATTCTTACTTGGAAGGTTTTGACCCCACTCAGAATTGATTGAGCTGATCCCATGCATAGGGCAGTGATGTGAAAGCTGTGCTCAGGGTGGAAGCCAGTAAGACCACAGGCAGCAGAAGAGGAATTGGCTTGGAGGCATCTTCTACAGTTGTACTGCAAGCAGGGCTGCTGTTGTACCAGGTACCATACACTGCAGAACCCTGGGAATGACATTATTTACTGCAACTCAGTTGGTCAGCAAACAGAAACACTTCATCTCAGTTATTATTACTAATGGCATGGAAAAAAATATATCAAAACCTCTTGTTCTGCAACAAAATACTTTTTCACTGGGAATCAGATGTATTGAAAGAAGCATTTGAAAACTGATACCATTTATTCCTCTTAAAAGCAAAGTCACCTTTACAAGGAAAATAACTCCAGTTTGATCTTTCCACCTTCTCATACCATGACAATTTTATCACTCATTCACTAAATATAACACAAGTTAAAGCAGTGTGCCTTTTATAACCAAAGAGGTCAAGACCTTGAGCTATTTCAATGAAGTGTGTTTTCCAGACATCTACAAGTTTTGTGGCAAGGGTTTTTCATTGCCATATCACACTTACAGGGGAAGTTAAACTTCAACTGATCCCATGCTTAAGTGAAAAGGCTCAGTTTTGGTTTCCTGTTGGGACTTGCATATGCAGAAACTTTTTTTTTTTTTTTTGGGGGGGGGCGGGGGAGTGGGGAAGCAAGGCAAAGAACAGTAGCTCTATAAAAAACAAGATTCAGTTTTAACACTGAATTGTGAATTTATACACTGTGATGAAGTCTTCACTTTTTTGAAGGCACAGTAAATGGGACCCAGTAAGTGGGAAAGAATTTTTAAACTTTAGATGTGGTTTTTTATGGCAGTCCATACATCCACACTCTCCATGTACTGGGAAGGGACAAGAAGCAAGATTACAGTGTGTTGTGGTTTGGCCCGGAAGCGAGTTTCTGGAAAAGTTGTGGTCAAACCAATCAGTGGCCAGATTTTAAATTGGCACCTATGGTGGCCACTGAAGTTTTGGATACGCCTCTGAGAACACACGGGTTAAAAGCAGAGGATTCCCAGAAAATTTCCTCTTTTATCCAGCGGTGAGTTGATCTGACCTCTCCCCTGCCCAGCTGCGTCTGGGTGGGGCAGGGGAGGCCATGCGGCCTGTGGGGAGGGAGGCCGGAGCCCTGCAAGGTGCAGGGTGGAGGAGACCTGGGATGTTTGGGCAGCCCCCCCGGGAGAGAGTGACAGAGACTGTGCTGGCTTGAATTTGATATCTTGTGCTGGCACCGTGGCCAGGAGAAGAAGTGGGGCGGGGGGCAAGGTGCCCAGCCGTGGGCAGACCACGGCGGGGGGGGGGGGGGGGGGGAGGGGGGGGGGGGGGGGGGGGGGGGGCAAGGTGCCGAGCCGCGGGCAGACCTCTGCTGGAGTTTTCACCCCTCTGGTGCTGGGACAATGCAAGCTGTAAAAACACGGATCCTCCCCAGCTGAGAGTTTAGAGGGGATGGAGGATGGGCAGATGAGAAGAAGGCTTGAGTGAGTGAAGAAATACCAGCAGATGAGAAGTGCCCTAGATGGAGGAGATGATTGGAGTGGCATTTTGGCTGGACTTTTCTCTTACAAGGAGGGAGGAGGAGTGTTTTGGAGGTATTCCATTGTGGATTGCTGTGTGTGTTTTTGTTTGGTTTTTTTTCCCTTCTGTCTCTTACGTTGTATATTAATAAAGTGTTGTGTTTTTCCCTCCATTCCCAAGTTGGAGCCTGCTTTGTTCTGTTTCTGGGTCACATCTCACAGTAACCATTTTGGAAATACACCTTTCATGGGGGGCCCTGGCATTGTGCCAGGGTCAAACCATGACACAGTGCAAGCTAGTGCCAGTTTCTAACACACAGCAAAACACGGTTGTTCCTAATAAAATACTGCAAATTATTTTAATCCTATTTTGTAGGACTGAAACAAAGACTTTTCTTTCCCCACTTAGAAATGAGCAAAATTAATAAGGAAAAAAATACAGATGCCTTGATTTCAGCCATTGAGCTCTTAGAGAACTATCGCTGAGAGCAGGTGGAGTAAAAAACATCATTTTCATTACCAGAATCCTAAAGTACCAAGAATGCTGTAATGGCCTTCTGCCCTATCACTCTGTGTCATTCTGCCCTAACAGTGTCACTCTGCCCTATCCCCACTTGATTTTCATATATTTGAGGGATTTCTTTTGCTCTTAATTGCCTTAGAGCATCAAGCTTGACTCTAACCCTAGAAGTAAGAAGAGGTTTCATTTGTTGTTTGCTGTTGGGGCTTTTTGGCAGGGAAAGGAAGGGTGTGTTTATGTTTGTTTTATTTATTAGCTACTCCTATATTCAGGACTTTCAAGTTTTTGCCTCTACTGTTATGATATGTATCCTAACTGTAAGAATCTTGAAAGCAAGGTATGTAACCACAGAAGTCTGTATAACTAACTCCACCAGTCTCTTGTTTTTTTCTCATAACAGATTTATCTCATTATTTGAGCCTCAGGATCAAAAGAAATCTTTTTCTCAGATACTTGAGATGAATTTCTGAAGGACTAAATTTTCCTCACATTCTCTATATTCAAAGTTATAACATCAGGTAACTTCAAGAAAAAGGGAAAATAGGCTTCATCACACACACACAGCTCTTCAAAGGAGATAATCCTACCCAGGCATAGAAAATTTCTTTTAAGCACTACATGAAAATTTTGCTCCAGCATAAGACAGAACTCGATATTTTTCCAAATTAAGTCATTTTATGTAAGTCATTTGGCATCAAATAAAACATTAGATTAATGGGTGTCAAGAGGACGTGGTTCTTCACATTCTTATATTGAGATGTAGTGTAATAATACAAGGTAAAAGTCACTGTCATGTTGCACTTATTTTTCAGTTGTCTCAATACTGAAACATACAGCTCTGCCACAAGGGCAAGTAAATCCGTACATTCTCAGAAAATGTCACAGGCCTACTTTCCCTCCAAGTTTAGTTAGGCACAAATGACATCTGCAATGATTTTTACCTTCATTTACTCAAATTACAGTGGGTTTTTTTCCATCAAGAAGTATGATGGTAACTGAGAAGCATGTAATTGCCCTCCTCTACTGACACTGAAAAGTCACCTCCACAGAATATCTGATACATTATTCCACCAAATTCACTATCAATTACATAGGTTGCTGCTACAAGTATGAAACAAACACCTCTCCAACCCTAGTAACCCTGCCAGGTGGGAGCAGAAGACAGCACCAGGGAGAGATCTACAGGTAAGATGTCTCCTCCCCAAAGTAAATACTCTTCTAGAAGATTCCTAAGCTGGATCACCCCAAAATATTTACCACAAAATAGGCACATCTAATTCCACACACATGCCTACAGCTGTGGCAGTGGAGACCAGAAATCAAACTCTGCAACTCCCCATCAAAGTCTCTTACTGTGCTGCAACTACTGCCCTCCCTGCACACCCTCTCTAACATGGGGAGTCTTTAATTCCCTTCTGAACAGTGCCAGGGCTTCAGGAGAGCTCAGAATGCCCTGTATGGTCCAACTTCTCACAGTCTGTGTTCACCACTCCAAAATCTGTAAGTGGTGATGAAGAGAGGAACTGAACACAAACCTTACACCCCTGAGGCAGCATAACTTCACTACATCCCTACAAGTGCAGAGGAGCAGCCAGCAACACATCTTGGAAAACCCTCTTCCTCCCTGAGAGGTACACTCAGCACCCCTTAGCAAAGAAGGGTAGGAGAACTGTTTGTTTCTTGACCATGATCAGTCTTTTTTCTTGTTGTCCCAGAGCTTGTCCCCAATTCAGGCACTCCTGAACAAAGATTCTCTTGTACCTTAGCTTGCACATAACTTTTAGGAATCTCCAGGCTCTGGGTCCTACATGGGAACACTAAAGCACACAGGAATCTTCAGGACCATGGAAGAGCTCAGCAGAAGTTTTCAGAGCTTCAACACCAAAACAGCAGTAAAGGCAGACCCTTAACTCCTGCTGAAGGTGCTCGTGTTCTCATTTAGATCCTACCTTAACTGTACAGCAAACTGAATACATTGAACTGAGCTTAATCCAAAAAAGCCCTGCATACATAATTTACTTTAAGAGCTGGGTATCATTGAAATTCCTGTAGCAACAGGAGCTGTGAGATACCTTAGGGAATGCCCAAATAACAAATATTAAAAAAAAACAAAACAGCAAAAGCATGGAGAGAAGTCTGATCCAGGTCCTCGTTGTCATGGTGACTTCCCAGTCATTTATGTACTTCAGACACATTTAGAAAAAAGGTATATTTTTACCCCTCCCGAACAAATAATGTAAGAAACGGGAAAAAAAAACCTGCTAGTCTGTCCCAAGCCAACCAAATGGCAACCAAATACTTTGATCAGCCAGCACCCCTGAAAAATTTTAACAAATACTTTTCCTGCACTGTGAATTGGATAGTCAGACAACATGGAAACAGACATCAGTGGAAAATACAAATTAATAATCCATCCAATCCCTTTATCATGCAAGACTCTAAACACACTTGGACTAGACAGGTTTCTGCTTTCAGATTATTAAAAAAATCATTACTTACAAAATAATTTCATTCATCCCCCATTTGCAGACACTGCTTGCAAGCAATTGGTTTTCTTTGACCAAGTACTATGTGTTCCACATGCTGCTGTTATCATACAGAGCAATCAAGCTGGCTCAAAAAGCATAAAATCCTCTCAACATTTACATGCAAATACTGCATAAGTATGGATTTTAAAAAGCATAAAATCAATACAGCTCATTATGGAGCTGCACAGAAAGAGCAAATGTTTTACTACTAGCACTAAATTGCTCACACTCAGCAAGCACTGCCCAACACTGCCAAACCCCCCCACTTTTACACCAGGAAAAGGCTAATGCATAACACAGTCAAGGAGCAGGCATCTAGTAAGACACCATTTTCTACATGCTACGTGAAAAAGCATCACAGATTCCACAAGAAAGCACTATTTGAACAGATCACAGCATGCACACTTACCAGCAGCTCGCCAGCCCAGCCTGGCCAGCCATCTGCCCTTGCCCACCACCTCCCAGCATTCAGGAAATCACCATATTCGCTTCACAGACAGACCATTCTGATGACCCCCACACTCTCTGTTAATCAATTAATGAAGCAAGACTGTTT